CCTTCATTTAGTCACCTTGCTATCCTTTGCTCTTTAGAGTCTTGCTTATTAGGGAACGCATAGGAACAACATTATTAGAAACTATTAATAAAGGTTAACACAGTCTCTGAATACTAACACATTTTGAGACCCCATTCTATTCTTAGAAAGTATTTTAAAATGTGGAAGAGAAATATCATGTACATTGTGAGCACATCAATGTGTTCACAATGAACATTGTATTATAAATGGGTTCATTTTCTCATTCCTTTCTTTCATCTTCTTTCTCCCCCATATTCTCATTTTCTCTTTATCAGCCTCTGCCTCTATAAATGCTGCCAAAGTATACTACCATTGACAATGCTATAAAAGAGTAACTGCACTGTTTTAATACTCAGATCTGTTTTAAAAAATTACTTGGCTCCAGTGTTGGAAAATAGCTGAGCAATAAATTCCTATAAATTTTTTATTAATTACCTGAACCTAGACATCTTTTTTCTCAAAAAAGCTAAGAATGTCTGACAGTTCACTAGTTATGATGAGATACTCATAATAGTGATACAGAATTTTTTATTCCATCAAACAATAGAGGCAGAAAGAGGTATTGTCCAAGGTTATTGATGAAAACTCATGAAACTTGTTCCTGAATTCCTTTTTCTTTCTTCTTTTTCCAAACAGAAATAAAATTGTTTATTTCTAGTCTGAAAAGGCATTCCTCTTAAATATGGTTCTTTTCAGTGACATATTTCTTTATGAACATGTTCTTGGGAGAGTTATGATTTAGTTAGCAGTTTATCACATAAGACTTCTTAAACTAATACAGCCTTGGTAGATGGAACCTGGTAGTTTCTCTAATTTGAGCTCAAATTTTCCTTTTAAAATAAATGAAGCCCTCTTGCTTAATAAACCCATTTATGTTCATTAGACTTTCTAACTCCTACTCTCTATTGAATATATATAATAGACTCTTTTGTTTTAATACAAATGAGTCATTTGTAGATTTACATGAAAATCCAAGTAAAAGCAAACGGATTGGCTTGTTCATCCCAACAGTGATTCATTCAAATTTTACCTGGATCTCAATGAGCAAAAGCAAATTATAGATCTATCATAGTCTTTAATATTAAACACAGCATTGACAAACTTACACCAGACATTTAAATTCCTCCACTAAACTGATTATCACTGAGGACTTACCACATTGAGTTTCTGTGCGAGGTGCTGGGAATACCTAGATGCACAAGTTGTAGTAAGAGCAGAGCACAGAGAAGGGAGGCTCAGTGCAGCCTGAAATTCAGGCCTCGTCTGGCCTCCAGAGCACTAGATCAACATGCCTTACTCAAACACTCAAAATTCCCCCAGAATACAACATCTTCCCCAAATTACGTGTGTCCGCCAGTGCATTCTGGACCAGAAAATGTCCTTAATACTCACCTGTTCACTCAAGCCAGAAATCTTGGGGAATCAGCTCAGATGCTATTCCTCCTTCTCAATTTCTAGTTCCCTACCACCCCTAATTCTGTCTTCCAAGTAGTCACCTCTCCCATTGCCAGTACTAAGTCGCGTCGTCCCTTGCCTGGACTTCTTAAAGCAGCCTTTGAACTGGATTCTCTGCATCTACTCTTATCCTTCTCCATTCTCCGCACAGAATGTGGACTCACCAGTCAACACATTTATTATTTTGATTTCATTATCTGCCTTCCTAACTAGATGAGAAGGTCCATGAGGTCCATGAAGGTCTATGTGCCATTGTAAAACCAACGGCTTTGCATGATACCTGGAATAAAGTGGTGTGAGTAAAATATCTGTCAAGCGAAAGCTTTCTTCTACTGAAAGAGAGCAAACATACAAAATGGAGCCAGGGGTCTTCCAAGGAAAAGAGTGTAACAAAGTCCTTCAGAGGCCCTGCAGCACAATGTGCTGATTGAATCACAAATGGTTCTGTACTAAAGTTTAATATATAAGGCAAAAAGTACCTTACAGAGATAGGTAAGATGAAGTCACTACTTTTAAAGCACAGACATTTAACTGAATGGTCACAAGTAGGGAGGCTTGAATGCTTCTAACTGCAAACAGTAGCAATGCAGCTTGAATAAACCTAAATAAAGAGGGAGATGTATTATAAAGATAATGGAATTCCTCATGGGAGTCAAGAACAGGAAAATGGTTGGGCAACAAGAACACTCTGCAATCTAGGTTGTGTGTAGGCCCTGTTCCTCACACAATCTGCACCTCAACTTGGAAGACACTAACATTCATTTGATCAGGTCATTTATAAGAGAAAGATAATGCACTTTAATGCACTTTAATAATACAGAGAGAATCTGATTGTAAAGAACACACTGACAAAATTATTTTGAAAAGGTCATTTCTGCTATAATGGAAGGGTTTCTAAGCAGTCTGCAACAGCATGGAAATGTTAAAAACAATGCTTTGCTAAAGAGTGTAAGATCCAAGAGTTATTAGATCTTAGATGAGGAGAATGTGATAGGAAAGAACTAAAGATGGGATTTATCTCACAGTCTTGCCTAGAACTAGCCTTCATTAGAGAAAAAACTATATTGCTTCTGAAGCCAACATCAAGAGAAAGAGAAGGGAGACTACTTCAGATCAGTTCTTTACAGGCAAAACAACTCCTGTGAAATTCCAATGGTTAAATACTTAATTCTTTAAAAATTATTTAATGAATTCCTTTGCTGCTTGTAACTGCTGTTGTAACAGAGTGTCAGATTTGACTCATTCTTTTTTTCCCTGTTACCCCCATCTGACTTACTGGAGAAGTCTCAATGTAACATGAGACTTCTCATTTAAGCCAGTTTTAGAATTGTTTTAAGTAATGAACATTTGAGAGTTAAGGAGGTACATAAACAAGACTGAGAAAAGGTCCATGTATCTATCTACTAGCACATGAGTGCCAATTTTCAGTTTGAAAAAGATAAACTCAACCAGAAGAATGCATTGGTAACTTGTGGAGGGATTTCTCAAAATGAGATGTTGCAATTCTTGCTACATGTAGTTTATCATTAAACAAAAGTGGTAGTAGCTGTTATTGCAAAAGCAGAGAAAAAGTTATAATTTTTTTAAGAAGTGAAACAGGCTAATCTTATACATGGTAGCAAAATTAATGGGAAATAATTGTGTCTTTGAGTGAACTAAACATCAAAAGATGACTGAAATACCGTTAAATACTATACAAAGTACATATTTTATTATCTTAAAAATGGAAACTACAATATGTTATCAGCTATTCTCCAAGTTCCGGGTTTCTCAGTTATTTTTAGACACACATTGGCACTTTTTTAGATTTTATTTCCAAATAATTTAAAAACTAAAACACATTTTTAATTAACTTCCAAAGCAAACTAGGAGTTTAGCCAAGGAAAAATTTAGAGTACTTGTGATAGGCAGGAAGTTGATCTTTGAACAGCATGTATTAGGTCCTGGAACAGCAAGATGAACTTCCCATATTGCCTCTAGCAGTACTTACAGTATTACAGTATGTTCTCTTCTCCTCTATCATAGTATTTCCTTTAGCCTTACAGAGATATCTCTGCTTTGATCTTACTTAGTTTCCTTCTCCAACTAGCTGGAAATCCAACATTTCTGGACCTAACACCAACTATTTTGTTTTTTACAAGTTTTTTTTATTAAGGTATTATTGATATACACTCTTATGAAGGTTTCACGTGAAACTATTTTCAATATAGATGGAGGATCTGTCAAAAATGTGATAGCCTAGCACACCTTGAGATTTTAATGAAATATCTCTATGCAATCAATCCTTACCTACTGCATTAATATTGGAATTCTAAATCATTTATCTGTGCTGATCTTAAACCTAGAAGACAGGATTGGCTATAAGATTTTCCACCAAGTTCCAGTCTCATTAATTCCAATACCTTCTCAAATATAAATTTGGAGAGCCAGTGGAGAAAGAAGGCAGTAACTAGAAAAAAAAAAAAGGAACAGCTAATATTAATGCACATTATCACGTTTGGTGTTACAGTAAACCCTGCACATGGATTATCTTAATTAAGAATCTTGTGACAAAGGTTACTAAGAATTATAACCATTTTGCATATGACAGACTTAGAGACAATTTCCCAAGTTACACACCCAACAAGAATTGAGCAAGGATTTGATTCCAGAGCTTGTGTACCAGCCCTTTTCTGACCCTGTTTCCAGAAATGAGGACCACTGCAAGAACCAGGGGCTGACCCGATTCCAATGCGGGGATGATGATAGCTACCAGTGCCTCTCTGGGCAAGTCTAGTTCCCTCTTCTACAAAATGAGTGTATTAGATACCATGTCTACATGCCCAGTGAGCTCTCAAGTTATATTTACCCTAAAGTATACTAATTACACACCATTAGTAGGAAGAACTTTAAGTTAGCTATAGGGAGTCCAAGATTTGCCACTAACTTTTGTGATTTGGGCAAGTCACATAACCTTCCAGTTATTTGCCTCACTTTAAGAGTTATTTTTAATAAGTATATCAGTGTTTCAAAAAGTATAGTATAGCACATATACATAAAGAACTATCCCATCATTGTCAATTAAATTCTATAGCACTGAAATTATGTATCAGAGCAATTATGATGTCTGTTTCTCACTCTTACCTCACCCTTACTTAAAAATATTTTGTCTTCAATATTTTAAAGTAATATTTTATTTGTAGTAGGTTAACAGAGAAGGACAGGCAGACAGAGACAGGGAAATAGAAGGACAATCTCCAAGTTTCCATTTATACATGAGAAGGGTAAGGAATGGCTAAAGGAGACACATAACCCTAGAGAGTGTGAGTGGGGGTGGGATGGGGAGAGTAGGGGGAGGAGTGATGTGCCCAATACATTAAGTAAATTTTAGTGAAAAGCAGCAGTGGGGTGGGGGAACACCTCTGTAAACCCTGACTCTTCACAGCTTCATGAAGTTAATGATTAAAATCTCCTGAATTTTCCCCAGCGTGTCTATTTGCTTTGATTGATATTATTTTATCTCTTGTGGGCCAAGGATGACTAGTCTTGCTTCTGTGTAGAGATTAATAATTGATTAGTTCATGGTTGGGAATCTCAGTAAAAGGGAATTGGTTACTTTGGGCTGCCACTTTTTCCTGGGTAGCCTGCAGGAGACGGGGACACTGCAAAACTTGAAGGCAGAAAAATGAAGAGGACCCTGGTTCTCCTGCTTGCTCTCACATTTGTGCATGCTTTAGAGAGAGGTAAGACTTCCAGTGATGTGACCATTTACAAGAACTCTTCCTAGTCTAATTTCCTGTTATAATTTTACATGTTAAAATTATACAAAAGGTGGAAAACAAAAGGATTGGTGAATATGTTGTGGAGAGTGGGAAGAATTTGAGTTCAAATGTGGCATACAGCATTCAACTAGAATTGCCAAGAAGTCAAGAAAATCTCATTAAAAAAGTATAATGTGTCAGTTATCCTGATTTTTTTTTGTAAGATCTAGAGGAAATGATTTGAAGTTAGTTTCTTAGTTAAAAGACAATGCAAATGCAGGTTGTGATCCTCACTTTTTTCCCCAGCCTTCACTTACTGGCACTGAGAGAATATATCAATGATGCACGATGTCAACTGAGATTTCTTTGACCATCTTCAAGGAGTCCTATACATTTAATATTTGAAAATGTGTTATAATTTTAAAAATATACCACATAAAAGAATTTAATAGTTTGAAGCATGATCAAGATAACTGAACTATATTTTTCATTGTTTATTCTTCAAATGGTATTTCCATCTTTGAACAATGTTTAAAAACCTTTCTAAGTGCTACATGCTGAAATTATGTGAAACATACAACTTCATAAATTTTGCATATTAGGAATTTCCCATAATCAATTTCAATTTACTTTTATGGATGATTCTTGAATGCTTATAAGGGTCTCTGCATTTTTAGATGGAAAAATTAAAATTTTCATTTAGTATTGTCAGTCAATAGCCTCACCCAACTCATAGTATTAATATTCATATTAATGTATTTAACCAGTGAAATAATTTCAGGAACTATTGGTTATGAATGATGACATTAATAATCTTACTGCTACTTTTCATACTCTTTTTACATTCACTTTTCTTTGATCTCACTTTTGTCACTAAAATTATTTCCAAGTATGTCTTAATCATAGATCCTTAAGTAAGCTATGGTCCTATGTAAGACTACAAAGTCTAACAGAGAGTAGGGTATAAATAAAGTAGTGTCCCTTACAAGACCTTTGAGTAGGCCAAGTTCCAAAATCCCTGAAAGCTTACTCCTTTGTTCATGGTTACTGTGGGGTGGACCTGAACTTGAAAACATCTTACTGAAGCAGGTTCAATTCAGGATCTCTAACACACAGAAGGTACAGAAATGGCTGGGCCCTGGAATAATATGTGGGAGCCAAAATGTGAGACAGGAGTCATCATTTTGCACTGCTGACTCAGCAGATATAAACTGGCTTCACCCCAAAGACTTGCAATATCCTTTGAAGAATAACAGCATTCTGCAACCTCTATTTCAACAGCTTTCAGCATTCTTTCAGCCTCTGATGAAAATTTTAAAAGTCTGAAGGTCTGGACTCCACAACAAACTTCCCTTAGGTTACCTAGGTGCCATAGGTTGGAAAATATCCCTTGAGACGTAAAATATATTTTAAGTAGTAAATACCCAATATTTGGAGACAGCAGCCCTGACCCATCAGCCATTCTACAACACCTGAGCATGACCCAAGGACCAAGTGAGTGATTCACCTGGAAGCTAGGTGTGCTCCTTCCTGGCAGAAAGTTACAAAGGGTACAGGTTAAAGGAGCTGTGAGGAGTCTTGGGTGGTGGGGGATTGGCTTGGGTTGCAATTCCCTCTCTCTGTTAAGTTCTAGGGAGCTAATCACAACCCACAGCATTTATCTAGGACACCTTTTTCTGAAGTGTAGTTCACTCAAGATTCATCTTGGAAAAATGTTTCTGTGTCCAAAAGTATTTAAGAAAAAAAGCTGTATGTTAATCTGTCTTGGTTAGTTCACAGTTCAAGGTCTTTTTTGTCCTAAAGGTTCTGAGAAATCACATAAGAAAAGTTAACCTGGAGTTTCCCAAATACACATGTACCTATACCCCATGGAAGTGTTGTTTGGGAGACTTCAGGTCTAAAATGGATGCTGCTACAGCTCAACATGAACATCAGCTCCTCTCCAGCCAGGCCAGCCCCCTCCCATCAGACAGCCCTGGGGATTTGTTCACATACCCACGGGTACACCTTGGAGAGAAGAGCTTAGCAAATGTGCCAATCTGGATGGTAGTCCAAGAAAATATTCACTTTAGCTGCCCCAGCAGTGGCAAGAAGGCTGTGTCTGCCATTTGCCTCTATTTGGCTTCTTTCCTCAAGACTGAAATGGATACAGCACTAATACAAACTGTATCGTGCCCTTCCCAAGAAATAAGCAAGAAGGCTCCTGACACAGCTACTCGGTTACCAGGGAAATAATGCTACAGGAAATAAACCACTGCAGTTTATTAGAGCTGTTGGCAAGAACAGGATATTTATTATGGTTGTTTTTCATTTTGCTTTAAGCATCTCTTTCTCAGCATGCATATTTTCACTAAACATGATATCAAACACCATGAAGAAAGTAAGTCTTCTTTGGGTTGGTGGGTAAGCTGTATTTTTTCCTTTTTCCACTTGTTTGTCAAAACAGCCCTAGACAATATGAGTTATCCCAATCTCCCAACTCACCATTGAATCAAGTTTATTCTCTACAAGTTGTCCCTTCATCAGTAGCCATAATAAGAACAAAATTGTCCTAGATTTGATTCAGAAACAAAGCTATACAGAATGCCAGGGAGAAGTAATTTAGGATAAGTAGGTATCTTCTCTATTTTCCCAGGTATGTCTTTATATCTTTTCTGCAAAACCTACATAATGGTTTTTGAGGAGGTGACATAGGATTTGAGATGTTCTTGATGGAAAGAAGACAGCCATGCAAAGATCTAGAAGTGTGTTTCAAGATGGATGAAAGCTAGTGCAGAAGTCCTGAATTAGGAAGAAGCATGGTCTGATCCAAGTTCACAAAGCAGCCAGAGCGAAAGCATAAAAGAGGCTTAGGCAGGGGGGAAAGGAGGAGGAGCTGAAGTCAGAAAGGAATGCTAACCTCCCTGGAAATCAATAGCAATGTTACACTTCCTGTTGTAAGGTGCAATGCTAAGCATGCACTCACCATCTGTGTGGGGCATGGGGATATGTACATGTACTTTACAAGACCACAAAGTTAATCTGTATAGGGAAGAAAAGAAGAAATCCTTAAAAGGAATCGATTGCCTTCGCTCTGGGTATATATGGTCACTTAACTTCTTTATTGTCTCTGCTACCCTTCTCCCTCCTATTTCCCCCCAGTTCACTCTGCTTCAGACACAGTGGCCTCTGCGCTACCCACACCATGTGTACTCTGCTCCTCAGGTTTGCACTAGCTCCTCCCACCTTTTAGAACAATGACGCCCCCATACCACATGTCTTCCTTCCTCTCCTGGTGCATATGCTCCAAGGTCACCTGTAAAGGTTTCCTTGACACACCTACCCAAGTAGCACCTACCACTCCATCTTTCTTCATCCCCTTACCCTGCTTTTTCTTTTCAGCATTCATTGCCTTAACTTAGCACCAGCTGTTGTCTATTGTAACAAGAATGAAACGTAGAAGTTCCAAGAAATCAAGGTCCTTATTTTTGTTCCTTTCTATAATTCCCAGTTTTAAAACACAATCATATGTAAGTATTCAATAAATTTTTTTTGTATAAAACCACAAAGTTAGGACTGTGACAGTACCAACGTAAGGTAGTTCTGAATATTTAAGCAAAGTTCAATGTCAGGACACATAATAGGTACCTGGAACTCTATAATAGAAATTGAATAGCAGCTCTATAATAGAAATAAAATATTTATAAAGTATCTACTGTAAAGCATTGGCACTAGATTTTATACACAGAATAAAATAGCTAATATTTATAATGTGCCAGTATGTTGAAAATCTTTTGGATAAAAATCTGTTTCACCCTTACAGTACCATGATGAACTTAGTACTATTATCCCCATTTTATAAATGAGGAAAACTGAAAGAGAGATTAAGTAATTTATCCAAGGTATCTGAGTTAAGTAGCACAATCAGAATTTTACATCAATTAGTTGGATTTACAGACACAATGCTCACAATCACTGCTTTGCTGCCTCTCATAAGACAGATTTCTGAAATACCATCTTTCACTAAATCTAAGAATGACAAAAGAACCAGTCACTAACACCAATTTAGGGAGAATTAAATGAAATTCATGCTGCCTTCTATGGTCATCCATAACTGACCCAAATTCCTGTTCTTCCCAATTCAGTGAAACTGGCTCTGTCCTCTAACTTTCCTGTTTATTTCGCTGGACCGTCACCTCTGAATTATTTATGCTCAAGCCTGCATAGCCACTTTGAATTTTATTTTATTCATATTTGTTGTCTGTGTTGTTATTTCCACTTTCTATACATTACAACCCTGAAATAAATGAGCCTTGCACAGAGCATTCTGCTGTAGAAGCCTCCTCCGTTTCCCTTTGTTCCTCCCCTTTACCCTCTACAGATATCTAGCCCAAAGCTACCTGTGAATACTCCCTGCCACCTACATCTTCAGACACTGTCCTTGTCCGGGCCCTTGGTCTCCTTCACATGGCTATTGTAGTGGCTCCCTAACCAAACCCCTGCCTATCCCTTTCTCAATGAATTCATATTAAATACACTAAAAAATCTTATATAATGTGGTAAGCGTGGTCCAAAAATGAATTACATAAAAATCAGGATCACTATTGAGAGATGAATGAAATGGTGAGGCTGAGCTAAGCAGCTGGCTGGTGGGATTTGAGGGATCAGGCAGATACAAATCCCCCCGCCCAGCTCTGCTCTCTGTTTAGAGTCAGCTGGTGGCTGATGAGACGTCATTAAATCATGAGTGTTTGGTAGGTAGAATATGGGCCCACATCCTGATGCCAGTCACCTGTGACTAAGTCAGGTCACATCACAAAAGGGAATTAAAGTTGCAACTGAAGAAATGGTTGCTAATCAGCTGACCTTACAGCAGGAGAATAATGCTGGATTATCTGGGAAGGGCCAAAATAATGACAAGGGGCTTTAGAAGAGGGAAGCAGAAGAAAAGTCAGAGGAAGATGTAACTGAGGGGAAATGGCCCAGAGAGAGGCAAAGTTGCT